TGACAGGCTTCGCATTAGAAAACGCAAATAGTTGATCTCTAGTACAAAACTTCGGAAATCAGATTTTGAAAGAAAACACGCAAAGTAGGTTTTTCTGAAACAGCGCGCATGCCTAATCTTCGAGTCTTCGTGAGGACATTTTTAAATGACATCCTGGTCCCAAAGTTTTTGAGCACTACGAAGAACAATATAAACCTTTATTTCCAATCGTTTTGGCTCAGGTTTCTCCGTAAAACACCGTCATTTTAAGGGACGATTAAGTCCAGCCCGCGTCACTATGCCACACTATAAACCTTTCTGGCCTGGGATCCACAAGGATCTGAAAGCATGCATACGGGCGTGTCTCGGCTGTCAACGGAATAAGGTCCAACGACACAACAAAGCTCCCATCGGCACCTTCCCTGCTCCGGATGCACGGTTCAGTCATGTCCACCTTGATATCATAGGTCCCCTGCCTCTGTCCAGTGGCTGTTCCTACCTCCTCAGCTGCGTGGATCGATTCAGTCGGCGACCGGAAACTATCCCTATACCCCGTGTCGCTGCTCCAACTGTCTTCAGGGCTTTCCGCAGTCGCTGAGTTGCCATCTTTGGTGCCTTATCCACTATTACGACTGACCGCGGTGCCCAATTTGCATCTAACCTCTTCCAGTCTCTTCTCTACTTTTTAGGCTATACTCGCATCCGCACTACAGCCTATCATCCGGCAGCCAACAGGATGTTCGAGCGGTTTCACCACCAGCTGAGGTCCTCCCTACGCGCCGCAGACGATCCGGAGAGCTGAACGGAATACCTCCCCCTGGTCCTGTTGGGCGTCCACTTCTCTCTGAAGTCGGACCTTGACTGTTCCGCTGCTGAACTCGTGTTCGGTGCCACCATCCGACTTCCCGGTCAGATGATCTCGCCAACCTCGTGTATTGTGGTCGAGGGCCCTACCAACCTCCTGCACCGTCTCCGACAATTCATTCGGAAATTCTCCCCGGTTCCACCCAGGCCATCTGTCTCTGAGTCCTATCTTGAGAGAGACTTGGCCACATACTCTCACGTCTATCTCCGATGTGATCGAGTCCGCCGGCCACTGTAGCCACCCTACGACGGTCCCTTCGGGGTTATCTCTCGTGGGACGAGGAACTTCCGCATCCAACACAGAACTCATAAGGCAGTCGTGAGCGTAGTCCACCTCAAAGCTGCCGTCCCGGACACTCCTCCGGATGAGACCTGCGGTCCCCTACCCCCTGCTCCACCTTCGCGACTCTCTATTCCTCCGTCTCGTATGCTCCATCCTCTAACATATCCGCTGCCCCCAACTGCAACTACACCCTCATCAACCTCCAACATTGTACAAGTGGTGGCAGCTGCTTCAGTAGGTTCGTGGGGAGCAGGTTCAAGGTTCAAGTGTGGTCCAATTGGTGTGTGTTGCATTACCCGCGGACTGATGCATCTAATAGCCTTCGTTGCGTTGGCTGATGGCCGGTGCGTTCAAGTAGCGCACGGCCACCCGCGACCGCTCGGATGTCCGTGCCTCCGAGGTGAAGTCGGTCAAGCGGTCCCAAGTCAACGCGTCTGGGATTAGGCGAAGCTGCTTTGCGGCAGGGGTTTGTGTGGTATAGTTGAGTGGGCTTAAGTTGGTTAAGGTCCAAAGCAAGAAAAGTGGCCAACACAATAATGGCGGTCGGCCAAGACTCCCAGGGGTAGGAATGAAGTCACTAAAATTACGTCAAATACCATATCTTTCTGTCCCCTGTGTGAAAATGTGAGATCAAGAAGAGTGCGTGAATTCGAGGCTGCGAGAGCTTCCCACCAGAACAAAGTCCGGGCGCAAGTCACCACTGCCCACTACGTCGTGATGATCTGCACGGCGCACGACGGATGAACTACTGTGACACTCGGGGTGGGACGATGGACTAGCACTCAAAAGTTTTTTACGTAGTCACACAGCGAGGGGGTAAAGGGGATACGTTAGACATCTGTGAAGCTACTGACATCCGAAAGTTGATACTCTGTATGGAACAATTCCTTTTAAATTGCAGTTAGAACGAGACAATTTTAGATGCGTAATTCGGTGATTACCCAAAAAAACACACGGTTTCCTGACTCAACTGTGTTGTATGTTTGGCTAGTCCAGCCGAAATCTGAATTACAGCGAATGACCGGTCTCATCAAATGTTGGCTGAAATTCTGAAATGCGTTTTTGATTAGGAGGGATTACTTAGGCGCGGTTGTAACCTTGATTATCTTGTGACATAATCCCATAATATTTCGGATTCGGCAGGATGTCAGCTTTTGAAAGTAATGTCTTTTAATCTCCTGTAGAAACCGACCTCGGTGAAAAATAACAACATAGGTAGCTTGAATCTTTCACATTGATTTTCGATGGTCATGCAAATTCAAGTATATTTTATAGAAACCATGAACAAAATATGCTTTCTTTCAGTCATTTTATAGAGAATCACGTCATCTTTATGTTTTACGCTGGAAGAAGGAGTATAATAAGGTTTTACAAGTTTTCGAATTCCCGTATAATTTGGAGCCTAGTCAGTCGTTGCATTAACGCTTAGAGATTTTAATCCGCAAGGTGCATGCGTTCCGCGTGAAGAAAACCACATTCTTCTATGCCTTTAAAAATATACCATGTAAATTCCATTAAATTTCGTTATGGATGATGATCATTTTGTACATTTCATGAGGAACAGTGGTAAACGGACAGGTACGATGCTGTATGAATGGGCATTGCACGGTCTTAAAAATCTCATAATTAGAAACATTTTAAAACCTAATTGTACGCCTCCTTCGAGTATAAAATATAAAGTTGACGTGAATCTCTATTTAATGACTGGATGAAGACGTATTTTTGTTCGTGGTTTCTGTAAAGTATATTTGAATTTGCAAGACCATCGAAAATCAATACGAAAAATGTCCGCCACTTAAGTTGTCACTTTTCACCGAGTTCGGTTACTATGGGAGATTAAAAAGCGGTACATTCAAAAGCCGACATCTTGCCAAATCCGAAATATTATAGGATTATGTCGCAAGATAATCAATATTACAACCACGCCTAAATAATCCTTCCAATAGAAAACGCATTTCAGAATTTCAGCCAACATTTCATGAGATCGGTCACTCATTGTGTCATCGTCTCCAACATGCTCTGGAAAGAAAAAGACGCTGGAGCCTACAAATTATCGTACTTCTGGATGTAACGAGGGGAATTTTCGGATGAAAGCGCAAACTTTCGGCTGTTGTGCTCTTGTTGTTTGAGTTAGTTCGTATGAAGTTCGTGAATATTCTTGCAATTACTCTACCACGCTGACAAGACTTTGCCGACATAAACTCTGGAGGGAGAACCAAGTAACTCGGTCCCATTTCAATGAAATACGGGGAAAAGATAGTTCATCCGGACTGTGAGATGAGATTGGCGGCAACTAGCCTGCTTAAAGTCTGCGTAGGACTTTTTTATTGAGAAATAATGCCTAACTGGTCTCTGCCGAAGCAGAGACCAGAAAAAAGGCTTATCAATGGAATCATATCGATGAAGCTTGAGGGTACTGCATTTCTGAAGGCAAATAAGAGAGCTTGTAGCGGTCCATGTTGTAAGGAGAAGGCGGAGGGCGCCAGAATGAGGGGTTTATTGTGCACAGAACCCAGAGTTGTCCTCTCAGGCGGCAGTGGCCACTGGCGAAGCCACGGCTGGTGGTGACTGCGTCCAGTCCTGCCTGAGAGTCCTTCGGACAGTGGTGGCAGCCACTTTTGTAGGCTTGTGGGCCAAGCTCAAGTGGTGTCCAGTCCGTGTGTGTTGCATTTGCCGAGGGGTAGTATCCCAGTGGCGTGTTTTGCTGGTTGCAGCGGGTGGTGCGTTCAAGTGGCGCATGGGTAGCCGCGACGCCGTGTGGACGCAATTGTGTCCGAGCTGAAGTCGGTCGAGTGGCTTTAGGTTAGCCCGTCTGGGACGGCTCGCTGCAACGTCGAGGTCTTGCACAATGGCACCCGACCAGTCATGATGTCTGCCTGATACAAGCTTAGTCATTTGATTTCTGACGGCCCCATCGACCAGTCTACTCAATATAGCTGTTTTCCGGCAAACTGCTATATTCTATGAGTAGTGAACAAGCAGCAATTTTCAAGCGATGCTCGTATCTATTTTACCACCGGTTTTCGGGTATTCACTAGTGTAACTAAGTTCCAACTAAGTAGGAAGATCGGAAGTGCCTTGCATTCTTTAGCGATTTATTCGAGAGAACGTGGTCATAATCAACCTCTGCACAAATGAATGCGAGTGGATAGAATACGCTACCTAAGATACCAATCATTTAACTATACAGAAGACAAACTTTCGTGATAGCAATGGTGGGGACCAATGGGAGGATGCTGGTGAAACGTCTCAGAAAGAGCTATCTTGTCGGACACGCCCACACGCATCCCTAATGATCCGCTCACACGCCGTGCGTGCGTTGACGTCGCGCCAGCTCCCGCCAGAATTGGCGTTTACTCAACTAGTCGGATTGGTCAGAATTCCAACCGATATGCTAACCCCTGAAGGACACCACCTGATTGGTTGAACTCCAATCCGACCTTGGGCATTCTCGTAGGTACCTTTTTCGCTTTATATACGTTTTTGGGGAGGTCGGTCTCTTTCTACTACCCTTGCTGTTTTAGTTATGATCTGGGAATTCGATCGAGGAGTTATTGGATGGCCGACCAGCGAGGGAAGCAAAATGTTCAGAACAACACGGATTACACATTGATTAGAAATGAATACACCTCCCTTCTGGTTCGAACGAAGTTAACCGGAAGCATGCCGTGCTCAGAAATACGGAAGGGTGAGAACCCATTGGCCCCCCCGCGGAGTAAATGTAAAGCGTTACGTTCGTGTTGGGAGAGAATAAAGGAGACTCCGGGGGTAGGGGTGTCCAGCTGTAGGTCCGCGTGACGGTCGCAGTAGGTCGCTCATTTGCTTGCAGGTGTGGACTACGCCTAGCGTCCACTGATTGACACCGAACTCTCACATGTGGCTCCCCAAGACCAGGCTCTGCCCAGCAGCCACACCCCAGCTACCACCTCAGCTTCAAAATCCGTGGAAGACAGCTGAGGTGGAAGTAATTGAGACTCTGCGCCTGCTTCTTGTAGACCTGCTTGGTCCCCTCTCCGTACAGCAGCTTCGGCAGGATGATGGCCTTATACATCTTCCGTTTTGTGCCAAGTTGAAGACCGTGACGATTTCACACTGTGTTTTGAATACGACCGAAGGCTTGGCTGGCCCTGGAAATCTGGTGGGCCACTTCATCGTCGACTTTGGTGCTGCGGGAGAGCGTACTGTTCAGATATGTGAAGTTGTCCATCACTTGCAATTGAGCGTCGTCCACGTTGATTTGGGGTGCGACGTATGCAGTGTCAGGTGGCGGTTGATGCATAACCCTCGTCTTCTCCGTGTTGATGATCAGGCCGAAGTTCTCACAGGCGGTGGCGAAAAGATCCATGCTCCTTTGCATCTCCCCTTCTGAGGTGGTGTTGAGGTCACAGTCTTCGGCGAAGAGAAGTTCATGAAAAGCAGTTGTGTGTAAACGCGACTGGAAGTGCATCCGCCGTTGATTGAGGAGTTAGCCGTCCGTCCACTAGGCGATGAGGATCCCGGGGCGTTTGTCACGGTAGGCGTCTATCAGCATGTCAGAGAATATGAGACTGAAGAGGGTGTGCGCGAGGACGTAGCCCTGCTTCACTCCGTTGATCACTGCGAACGCCTTTGAGACAGCTCCATTGTCCGTTACGCGTGCCGTCATGTCATTGTGGAGCTGACGCACCATCTGAGTGAATCGTTCGGGCCAGCCGAATTTCTGCATGATTCTCTACAGTCCGTCACGATTCCCCATGTAGACGGCTTTCGTCAGATCCACGAAGGTAGAGTATAGGTGGGTCCGCATATACTGACACTTCTCCTGTAGTAGTGGGCAGCGAGGATAACGACGGCGGAAGTCGCACTGGCTTTCCGGAAGGAGACCTTGTTCTAGGTGGTTGTTCAGACTGTTAAGAAGGATGTGAGCATAGATTTTCCCGGCTATGTTTAGCAGTGAGATGCCTCTGTGATTGTTGCAGATTTGGCAATTTCTTTTCTGCTTGTATAGACGCACGATCGTGGCGTCCTTGAAAACCTGCGGGACTTCTCCTTGACGCCACATCTCCTGGAAGAGCGCCATCAGATGATTCATGAGTTGATGGCTGCCGTGTTTGTAGATCTCAGCAGGGATCGATCCGGGTGCTTTCCCGCTGGGGAGCTACTGCGCGGCCCAGACGGTTTTTTTGGAGAGAGGGCGGGCGGTCGAGGTCGGCGTCGGTCTCCACTTGAGGCAGATAGGTGATGGCGGCGTTGGAGATGGTGGAGGGACGGTTGAGGACGCCCCGGAAACGCTTAGCTCATCGCTGTAGAATTTATGTCTTCTCAGTGCGTAGAGTACTGTCATCGGCGCTGAGAAGAGACGCAGAACCTTTATTTGGCGGACCGTAGACAGCTTTGATCGCTGCGAAGACGTTATTCCATTCGTTGCGGTCCGCGTACCCTTGAATCTCCTCAGCCTTTCGAGCCGTCCAGGTGTCCTGCATCTCGCAAAGTCGCTGTTGCACAAGGCGGCGACTACGTAGAAAACAGCTCTGTTATCGTCGGTGAGGCGGTCGACGTAGGCTTTGTGCAAGCGGTTTTTCTCGGCGAGCAGGTTTCTTGTAGCGGCATCGTTGTCGTCTAATCATTCAAGCTGTTGGCGGCGTGAGCGACCGAGGTCGGCCAGCGCCGTCGACTGAACTGTGTCCCGTAGTTGACAACATCGGTTTTCGACGGAGGCATTCTCGTCGGCGGCGGTAGCGACTGGAATGTCGGCTAGCCATTGAGCTAGCTCGATGCTGAAGTTGAGATGGTAAGCAGGCAATATCCATCTTAGCTGGGGTCGCTTACCTTGGGGTCTCCTGCGGGGCTGTAGGCGAACCCACATCTGTGAGATGACGAAACGATGATCGGCCCACCCGTCGGCACCCGGAATCGCCTTTTTCACCAACACCTCCTGCTGGTCTGGCCTCCGGACGAGGAAATAGTTAGCAGGCGCCAGTGTCGCGACCGAGGATGCACCCAGGTGGCCTTTTTTCGCATCGGCAGGCAGAATAAGGCGTTTCTCAGTGTGAGCCGGTGTCCTGCGCAGGTGCGGAGATGAAGTAGGCCATTATCGTTGGAACCGTTGAGACCATAGGGACCTAGCACTAATCTCCTGGCAACATGGTCTGTGCTGACCTGGGCGTTAAAGTCATCAGGGACAATTAACTCATCCGCCTTCGACAAAGTCGCCAGAAGGGCATGCAGGTCCTCGTAGAATATGTTCCTTGCGGCGTCAGGGCTTGTCATCGATTGATCGTAGACGTTGATGCTGGTGGCGAATACGCCTCCCCGAAGAGGCAGACAGAGGCTCATCGGACGGTCGTTGGTGCCTTGCGGAAGACAGGGCAGTCATCCCGCGGTATCGTTCCGGATGGTAAAGGCGACACCCTCGTACCATCATTCTGTCTTGGGGCGACCGCCCCAGAAGAAGGTGTAGTTGACACCCACCTCCTCCAGTTGGCCTTGTTCGGAGAACCGGGTGTCACTGATTGTAGCGAGGTCCACGTTGTAGTGCACAAGTTCGCGAGCCACTAGCGCCGTCCTCCGTTCCGGTCGGTTGCTCTTTGGCTTCTTTACAAGGGAACGAACATTCCAGGCTGCCAGAGTGGGCGGACTCACTGCCAGTCTGGTGAGTAGGGCGATGGGGTGGATGAAGGGGCGGAGACAGAAAGTGTTACTCCGATTTCGTTTGTTTCTACCGTGAGTTTAACGTCTGCAACCACGGTCAGCCTTCAGACGGCGTGGTTCTCCGGCATTTTTTATGGCACCATTTCCAGCTCCTTCCCCCCTCACGGGGGTAATCAGTGCTATCCCTTAATAGGGCTTCCCATTTGTCCCAGACGGCTGCCGAACTTCACTATGGGCCACGTCTTTTTTAGTGGGAAAGTGACCCGGCTTAGCCTGGGACTGTCTAAGACGTTACCTTAGGTTGTGACCCCTTGCGATGTACCATGCTGGGCCTCGTCTCGATAAAGCCGATGCGAAGATCCATGCGGCCAGCGAAGTCGACCCTACCGTGCGCGGAGGTGCGCACACGGATACTCTTAAGTGGTTTAGCCCGCTGGTCGAGGTGGTTACCAGGGTGTGGTCGCTAGACTAAGCCTAGCTTCAGGGTGCCGCATGTGAGAGTTGGGTGTCAGCAAATGGACGCTAGGCCTAGTCTACACCTGCAAGCAAGTGAGCGACCTACTACTTTCGTCACGTGAACCCACCGTTGGACACTTCCGGCACCCCAAACAATCCTGACCCACCAACAAACATCACACCACCACCGTCAAGGCCAGCGGTGAGGACCTGGTCTGTACCTGTCCTCATTGCGATCGCACCTTCACCTCACACATTGGCCTGGTCGGTCACTTGCGAATCCATCGCATAGAGACTGGTGAACCAGTGCCTGGGACACCAACGCACACTCGCCGCATCCGCCTCCACTGGCCTCACTGCCCTCGCACATTCATGCACCGCATGGGCCTATTCGACCAAATGCGTATGAACGAGAGCGGAATTGACCGCAGCCCCGACACACCTAGCACACCCAGCCCACGCCACATGCCTAGGTCTGCCCATAATCCGCCGCCAAGCGCGCTCACCGCCACCAGTTCCACCAAACTCAACACATCTTGCTCACCCACAATGCTCAGCCCAACCCACATCCGGTCGTCCAACGCGCTCACCACCACTAGCTCTACCATCACTACCACCGAACCTGATACTGGAACCGCCGACTTCTCATGTCCATACTATTCCTGTGCATTAACCTCACGCATCGGCCTGGTCGGTCGCTTGCAAATCCGTCGCACAGGGACTGGCGAACCGGTGCCTGGGCACCGACCTACACTAACAGCATCCGCCTCCACTGTCCACATCGCACTCACACACTTATTTACCGCATGGGTGTATTAGGCCACAAGCGCCTCCACATAAACCTGCGGTAGCCAACCGCAGGCTGCACCACATCACCACATCCTCCATTACCAGCATCTCACCGCACACTGGCATCACCCACCGCAAGCATCCAACTGCCACTTCCCGCTCAAACTGAAGTTTGCGTCTCGGCCCGGTCGCCATGCGACTCCCTTGCGTCATGTGCGATCGAAATCTGAGACTGCCACGGTGCGCCAAGCGCTGTAGTTCGGAAGGCAGCCGAGTGACGCCCCAACTCAGTCAGCGCAGTCTGCCCAGTTGTGCGTGTTGTGTGGAGTGGCGGACTGGTGTGCTGGGAGCCAGACTGTTACGGCCCCTTCTCAAGCGATCTGTGACACTCTCATGTATGTGAGGAGGATGTGCGCTTTATGGGTAATGCCTCTCAATCGTTGACTGTTTGGTTACCTAACCTTGAAGTTTGACGGCCCAGGCTAAATGCAGGAACACATGTCGCCCTTCTTGGCCAAAAGGTTTGAAAGCGTGTGCTATGCCAATATCAGCAAACCGTGGCCCTCGCAGGCTGATATGAGCTGGCAGTTCCCTGACACTTACCGGTAGATGCGCTTGCGATCCCACAGGGTATACAGATGGTGGGCATGGCTACCCATTCATCCTCGTCCTTCTGACCCCTGTTAGGATTGTTTTGATGTTGTTGGTTAAAAACCTCGTCATTTTCTATGTGTGGGTTGTAGGGCATAACGTATTCAGGCTTTAGAGAAAGACCCTTCCCCTAAGGACTGCCGCAAGAGTCCGGCATTTGCAAATCTGCATCGATCTTAGAGCGCAGCAGTTGTGTTAAGCAACCACCATAGGAGCCCCCGTCTCCAAATGTCTATTTCGGGATCATGTTCAGGCGGGGTTCTGAATAGACTGCGTCGTCTAAAATAATCATGGACGGCATACAACGAGGTTCGGCTTCAATCGGCGGCTGTTAATTGAGATCTCGTCGAATAACTGGTCCGGTGAGAAATGAATAAGCTGAAGGTTTTAACTATTTCACCGAAAAAATGAATGGATCATATACACAAAACTGGGTAACATTTGCTTTAACCGGGACGTCGGTCGAGTTGCCGGACCACCCCGAGCACGTGAAGATCAAATTATCTAATATGCCAGTTAAGAAGTGTATGCTAGAATTTTTACAGTTTTATTGTACTTTCGGCCGTGTCTCCTCATCTTCCGTCATGTGTGACCATTGCCAAACAGTAACGTATAACTTAACACCGGGCGATGTCTGCCGACATGAAAGTCTCACAACAACAATGATTGGCGTCATGACAGGAAACGTCTGGCGCTATTAAGCGTATTAAGCGAGCTGCGAACCGCTTGGGCCGTAGTCCTCGACTCGCAATCGATAAACGAGAACACTGACCTCTTGTCTCCTTGACTTGCACTGAGACGTGGATTGGGCATTGTAACTAATTACACGGGAACGCGCTGGCAAGCTCTGTTCTTTGTGCCAGTGGCGACGAACCAAATCACTTAAGGACCTACACAAGTGATGAAATTCCGGCAGTTCGCGACTGGACCGCGGGCAACCAAAAGGTTATCGTACAACGTGCAATGGACTGCGGACACACCACTTCCGGTATGTATCTTAGCATCTGCATCCTCTAGATACTGCAGCACCTGTGGAAAACGTTAACCTTTTCGGATCTGTGTCTGATAGTTGGTTCGAGAGTGAATATGAAACGTCTGTGGCAGTCAGCTCCCAAGGTCGACAGAATGACTACTTACTCACGCTCCCGATTAGTTCGTTGCTGGTGCCTCCTGAGACTTGGGACTAGCCAATCATCGCTGTTCCTTCGGTGTTGGACTGCAAGCGGACACAACCCAGATAGGGTAAAGGCGCGCACACACGCTGTTGGGCGAGCAGCCCAACGGCGGACACCAACGGACACATGCTTGAAGAGACGCTTGGCTGTATCTGCTTGCTTAGCTTCCTGTATGCTCTTTGGATCAGTAAAGCTTGTCAAACCTAATCTCTCTTCTCTGACTCGTGATTTGAGAATTGTTGTTTGCCGGAACACCGCAATTCAACACGTCAGATGAATTAAGCTCTTGTTCCGACGATTGCGCCCTCTTATTTCTAAGTCGAGATTTGAACAATGTCGAACTTTTTAAAGAATATTTTGCGCTGGAGCTGACTGCCTTCATTAAAAGTGTGTCATCTTCAGCTTGCTTAAGTACTTATTCCTCACTCTTCTTTATTCAGTTTCCTGAATATCTAGTTAATTGTTCTGACATTCTCATATTTTTTACGTACATCATTACCACCTTGGACGTATTCCTACCAATAGCCACAATACGAACGGCAGCGTCTCATGTCCATGATGAATACCTATGAACGGTTTATTTCGAACAGCGCTGACCTCATCCTTTAAACTGGGTTGTCCTTTGTAAACAGCGTACTCACATTGTCGCAATCCTCAGACCAAGTCCTCAATTGCAGGATAACACCAAGGGCATCACTATGAGGGGTTTAATTGTTTAGGTAACCATGCACTACCCCTTCAGTCTGCAGCGTTACTGACGAAACCAGAACGTGTGCTGGCGAAGTCAGTTAGAGCCGACGATTGTGAAACAGTGGTGTCAGCACTTTATATGGGTCTGCAAGGGTAGTTTCAAATGTCTTATGGTCCGAGTGATGGGATACATCAGCCGTTGGTTGCCTAGGCTGTCGGAATGCTCACGTGTGGATATTTGGCAATCGGCCAGACTGGAAGATAGATGCATAAGGAACTACTCCCTAGGAATGTGAGTGACCTTAACACAGTGGGAGGCTGAAGACGCCAGGTATTACAACGACGACTGTTAACTGCATACTTACAAATCTACTCGTGGGTCAAAATCCTCTTTTAACTTGTCACTAGAGGATCTGACCAGCCAAGTAAAGTGAAACCCGCACTGGTTAACGTCATGCTCAATGCCTCTCTTGCAGTCGACGCTTCCCTTCCTACAGTGACTGACCCCTTCCATGTTACCGTTTGTCCGCTTTTTCACAAACGCCAACAATCCCAAATGGATTCTTGTTTTTGACTTTAACTAGGTCTCACCGGCTGGTATCCGTTTTAGCACACGCAGTAAAGAGCCGCTTGTCCTCTACCTAATGGTATAACGTTCCTGGAATTGTTCCGAGGACAGCAACTAACTATCTGCATCGGCTACACACACCTCACTCTGGGTCTAGGATTCTATTCAGACTGGACCAGTACTCGGAAAATTTGTTAACTACCAACCAGTTCACATCAACTAGTTGCCAGCGCTAGGTAAAGCCTCTTGGACATGGGTATTATTATTATTGTGGGCCTCCTGCCTCAGATCAAAGGCAGTTCTAACCAGTATGCCCAAACCACACGATTTACGTTGTGGTCAGAAGTTAACCCCCT